AAAAAACGTATACTATCTGTAATTACCCTGTCCCAAGTTTATTTTTTTGGGTTGTTTAGTGTCTTTGTTTTTGTAGTAGTGTTCTTGAGTTACTTGAAACGCACTTTTATATACATTGTCTATCTGGTAGATGATAATCACCACAAAGTCTGCACATCTTATACATTGTTATGCCACAATGTAAATACATAATAGCAACCGTTAAATAGAAACATTGTTAAAAAAAACATCTAAGTTAAAGTTTTTTTTAGCTAAATTGCAAAAAAAAAAAAGAATGTGCTAAGTTTGATCACATTGAACTAATGTTGTTGAGCAACACAAACACTTATATGCATACACACACTACACATACATAAGATCCATGTTATCAGACCCATCACATCAGCTCTTTTTCACAAATCATAATGCTTTTAAGCTAAATGCTAACACTAATGTTTGTTTAGCAAAAACTATCCATTTTGTTTTGCGTTTTAACATTTTTTTAAATTGCTGTATATAAGCAATATTGAGTCTTTAAATATATTTACTGTATATATATATATATATATTTCCGATGGTTACTCAGATAGGTCAATTCAGACCAAACTGTTGTGCATGCTAACTTCATAATAGCTGCTTTTGTCTGTCTGTATCTTCAGGATCTACAATCTGGCATCCTCCATGCAGACAAGCAGCAAAACAAGAAGAAAAGAGTAAGGTAGGTGAAAAATAGTTAAGAATTTCAAAATAGTAAAAAACATAATACTCATGATGCTAATGTCACTATCACCCATACAAAACAATGGATAAAACAATAAAAATACAGTTACACAATACTAAAAGGCTTCATTAAAGGCAATAAGGCTTTTTGACTGCTGGACAAGATAGTATCCCAGGACGTGTGCTTAGGGCACATGCAGAGCTGCTTGCCAGGATATATATAGTCATTTCCAACCTGTCTTTTACCCAAGCAACAGTGCCAACATGCTTTAAAACCCAATCCATTGTATCAGCGCTGAAAAATTCCAACCTGATGTGACTCAACGACTCCCGCCCTGTAGCACTCACACCCATCATCATGAAGTGCTTCGAGTGGCTGGTCCACATGCATGGACAACGATGAGACATGCACATTACTGTTTGCTAACTTTAGCTCTGTTAGGCACCAGCACATCCATCTGCAACTAGATCATGGACTTTCTGACCAGCAGAAAGTCCACTGTCCACGACAATGATTGGCCTCGAGTTTTTTTATTGGCCTTTTTTGTTTTTTTACGTCTTTCCTTTTTTACTTTCTGTGGTTGGAGATGTGCTTAGCAGAGAACAAATATGATAATCTACACACATAAACAGCTGCTTGACCTCTTAACGGTACATCCCTGATGCAAATAGACTGTTTCCCCTCCTGCCCTCAGGCAGAAGCTTCAGAATCATCCGGATGAGAATCTTCTGGTTAAATGGCAAAACTGCATTTCGTTGCGTTGACAATAAAGTTTCATCTAATCCTGTGTGGGTTTCCGTAAACCTGTTGTGTAAAGACTTCCATCTCTTTAATGTACATAGCACAGTCCAAAGAGGGAAGCTTATGATCCTTTGCGTCCTTGCTTGGGAACTTGATGTTGCTGGATGCTGAATGAATCTACTCTGGAAAAAGCCTCCACTTCATGAATTTGTTTGTTAATCCATGTGTTTCCATATATCTGAACCAGTGGCTAAATGTAGTTCTTTGTGCGAGCTTAGAGCTTTCCTATCCACTTCCTCCATGTAAAGCAGGAGTCTCAAACTCTCTCCAAACTCACCTTAGTTGCACTTTTGTGTTACTCTGATACTGACGTGGTCCTTTGTTTTGAGGAGGGCATTGGCACCAGCACCCATCTCATTGTTCCTTACATTCCCTCTCCTTCCCAGAAGCAGGTCCGGATACAGCTCAATGACATCCCAGAGCAGCAGGTCGGTGCTGTTGTATGCCCCCACAAGCCTCACCCCAAATATCCCGCTCAACCCCCTTCCTACCACAACCATTTCTGCACGGTTTGATCTTAACAGTTTAGCACCTTACTGCTGTGTGAACTGCTGTGCAAACTGAGCTGAGGCACAGTGCTGCTGTCAAATTTCTTCTGATTTGTGCAGCAAATGGGAGCTGAAAAACAGTAATTGATAATAATTTTATCAGCCTGTGCATGCACACGGACGGTGTGAAATCTAAGTTAAAATCACTGATTGTATGTAGACAGTATACTGACTGTATGTGTTCTGACTTTTTTAAAAGACATTGCAACGAGCAAGAACTGATTGATAGATTATTGTATTCTGCCTATGTGGACCATTTACGGTATATGTATTAGGAATATAAAAATATTTTACTACTTGTGGTCTTTAGAATGATCCTATAATGAGAGAAAACATTGCCTTACTCATACTGGAAGGGTAAAGTCAGTTTATTTTCTGGACAATTTGTTATCCCTGTATCACCAGAAATGATGTAATCACTTCTCCAACTAGCATGTTAGTTTCAATTCAATTTTCAATTCAATTTCATTTAAATAGCGCCACATCACAACAACAGTTATCTCACAGCGTTTTCCAAACCGTGCAAGTCAGACCCTACTCTGAAGTTAATTACAGAAGCCCAACAATTCCCACCAAGAGCAAGCACTAGGCGACACAGGCAAGGAAAAACTTCCTTTTAACGGGCAGAAACCTCGAGCAGAATCATGGCTGAGAGAAAGAGAGGGCAAGAGAGAGAGGGCAAGAGAAGGACAGAAGGAGCAGAGAGAGGCAGCCTACACAGTAACACATTGACTGGATGAAAAATGGCAATGATATTGATGCTAATAATAATGATAGCAGTGATAATGATAGCAATAAAAACAGCAATAAGACTATGAACGGTTGCTGTAATATTAGCAGAGTAGGAACATGGGGACAGCAGGAAACTCCCAATCACAGATCCAGCTTCCACAGCTCTAGGAACACCTGCAGGAAGTGATAGGAGAAGACTCCCAACCACAGATCCAGACCCCACAGCTCCAGAGCCAGGAATATCTGCAGAAAGTGTTAGAAGGAGAGAGGAGACACTACTACTACGGGGAAGTGGGAGAGTCCAGTTAGTAACATTGTTAATGGAATGAGGTTGCACTGGGAGGGAGAGAGATAAAGGAAAGGGGAGCTCGGTGCATCATGGGAAATCCCCCCGGCAGTCTAGGCCTATAGCAGCACAACTAGGGGTGGACTTACCCTAACTATAAGCTTCATCATAAAGGAAAGTCTTAAGCCTACTCTTAAATGTAGAGACGGTGTCTGCCTCCCAGACCCAAACTGGAACCTGGTTCCACAAAAGAGGACTCTGATAGCAGAAAGCTCTGGCTCCCATTCTACTTTTGAACACTTTCGGAACCGCAAGTAACCCTGCATTCTGGGAGCGGAGTGCTCTGGTAGGGCAGTAAGGTACTATGAGCTCTTTAAGATAAGATGGTGCCTGACCATGAAGAGCTTTGTATGTAAGGAGAAGGATTTTAAAATCTATTCTTGATTTAACAGGAAGCCACTGCAAAGAAGCCAAGACAGGAGAGATATGATCTCTTTAACTGGTTCCTGTAAGAACACGTGCTGCAGCATTCTGGATCAGTTGAAGAGTCTTAATCGAATTTTTTGAAGAGCCTGATAAAAGGGAATTGCAGTAATCCAGCCTAGAAGTAACAAACACCTGGACTTGTTATTTTTTTTCCCAGGATTCTCCTGATTTTTGCAATATTACGTAGGTGAAAGAAGAAATGAAAGAGGTGAAAGAAATTTGCTAAATGTGAGAGTTAAACGACATGTCCTGATCAAAGATAACTCCAAGATTTCTCACAGTGGTACCGGAGGCCAAGGCAATGCCATCCAAGCAAACTATATCTCTAGATAATGTGTTACAGAGGTGCTTAGGCCCTAGAACAATAACTTCAGTTTTATCTGAGTTTAACAAAATTGCAGGTCATTCAGGTTTCAACATCCTAAAGACACGTTTGAATCTTAGCTAGCTGATGATTGTCATCTGGCTTGATCGATAGATATACCTGAGTATTATCTGCATAACAATGAAAGTTGATGGAGTGTCTCCTGATAATATTACCTAAAGGAAGCATATACAGTATAACATGAAGAGGATTGGTCCGAGCACAGATCCTTGTGGAACTCTACAGCTAACTTTGGCATGCATGGAGGATTCATCTTTAACATGCACAAACTGAAACCGATCTGATAAATAGGACCTAAACCAGCCTAGAGCGGCTCCTTTAATGCCAATGAAATGTTCCAGTCTCTGTAACAGGATCTGATACTCAGTGGTGTCAAAAGCAGCTCTAAGATCTAGAAAAAAACAATACGGAGACAAGTTAGGAGGTCATTAGTATCTTGCACCAGTGCTGTCTCTGTGCTATGATGAGCTCTAAATCCTGACTGAAAATTTCTATTGCTATGTAGATAGTCACACAGCTGTTTGGCTACTGCTTTCTCCAGGAGCTTGGAGATGAATGGAAGGTTAGATATAGATAAATAGTTGGCTAAAACATCTGGGTCCAGGTTAGGCTTTTTCAAAAGAGATTTAATTACAGCTACTTTAAAGTCCTGTAGCACATAGCACATAGTTGATAAGGACAGATTGATTGCGTCTAGCAGAGAATTACAGACTAAGAGTAGGACTTCTTTAAGCAGCCTTGTTGGGATGGGGTCCAAGCGGCAGGTTGATGGTGTGGACGAAGAAATTATTGAAGTTAGTTGACAAAGATTGAGGGAGGCAAAGCAGTAAAAAAATATAACTGGTTTTACTGCTGTTTCTACAGTTTCTGAGTTTAAAGATGAGTCGGTGCCAGTTGAGGGCAAGTCTTGGTGGATTTTGTTTCTAATAGCTAGAATTTTACCATTAAAGAAGCTCACGAAGTCATTGCTAGTGAGAGGTATGGGTGTACTTGACTCAATAGAGCTGTGGCTCTGTCATTCTGGCTACAGTGCTGAAAAGAAACCTGGGATTGTCCCTATTTTCTTCTATTAAAGACGAGTAGTACGCTGATTTGGCATCCCTTCGTGACTTTCTATAAGTTTTAAGACTATCTTGCCAAGATAAATGAGAATTTTCCAGCTTGGTGGAACGCCAGTTTCTCTCAAGATTCTGCGATATTCGCTTTGATTTGCGGGTTTGAGTAGTATACCATGGAGCAAACCGTCTTTGCGTCTAGTGCTGTTCTCAGCGAGCCTTCAATACTATCAAAAAGATGATCGACTTGGGAGGGACTGAAATTAAGAGTCCTCTGTTTCTTTATGACCTGATAATGATCTTAGAGCTGATGGAATCGCACCCATTTAGCTATAGCAATATCAGACAGGCATCTTGAGTAGAAATTTTTACCCAATGGAGGGTAATTCAGCAGTAAAAGCTCAAAAGTTAGCAAACAGTGGTCAGATAAAGTCGGATTCTGTGGGAACATTACTAAATGTTGAATTTCAATAACATACACCAGAACAAGGTCAAGTGTGTTTAAAACAGTGAGTCGGTTCATGTACACTCTGAGAGAAGCCAATGGAATCTAACAGAAAGATAAACACAGTACTGAGGCTGTCATTCTCAACATCCATTTAAAGTCCCCTACATAATTACTTTGTCAGTTTGAAGGACCAAAGTTGACAAAAACTCTGCAAATTCAGATAAGAATTCAGAGTACAGACCGGGTGCTCGGTACACTATAATAATTGCCAAATTAACACAAAAAAACATGTGGCAAGACTTACATATTCAAACTGTCAGTCCCTTGCATGTAATCATCAATCCACAAAACTTCTCCTCTTTTACTAAAATGACAGCTTTTGAGACAAAAAACAAGCTAACATTCATTCAATGGTTTAACTTTCGAAGGAGCAGACCAAGTCCTCAGATAATGCTCTTCTGGTTCATGAGTACCTGGTCTCATGCTGTGCTCAGTAGTGCTGGTTCATTCAAATGGTAAATTGCCTCGAACTCTGCTTTCTTTCTTCTCTCAGCTGGCTGATAGACTTTACTGTCTTGTTTCTAATCTCAAGCTTGTGTTTAGTTTTTCTTGCTCATGCATGGTTTTATGGATTCCTTGCAACCCATGCAGTATTACACAGACCTGTCCTGCAAATTTTCAGGATTGTTTCCTGAATACCATATACTTGGCTTTGACATTTTATTTTTAAAAATGTAATTCATAGGATATATCATTAACAATGAAATTGAATTAAACTGACAATTTATATGATTTCTAGATTCCTATATTAGACAACATTTAACTAATGGCATTTCATAAATACCTTAATCCCAGTTAGACTATATTCAATTTTAGTAGTCTGAATTGAGTGGTGGATGGAACAGTGGTATGGTGTTTAGACTGTTGCATCACAGCAAGAGGGTGCCCGGTTTAAATCCTTGGTATACGTGGGGCCTTTCTGCTAAGTTTAAATGTACTTTGGTGTGGCATGTTCTTGTTCTCCCTGTGTATGCGTGGGTTCTCCGGACTCGTAAATGAGGGATGGGCTCTAGCAACTGTGCTGGAAATGAGCGCTGAAGATGATAGATTGACAAGTTTATTTTTCTCTCTAGCGCTCTGTCATGACTCTAGCTCTAAAAATCCCCATTGGCACAATATATGTCGATAGGGTGAGGAAAATTGAAAAAACAGTAAAATTAAGCATGAGTTTGATTTGATCTGTATATCGTGAATATTTTAGTTAGTGGGAGGACTAATATTTAAACTTCAATATGTGAAACTAGATTCTGGTCTCTCTCCCTGAAAAAGATGTATGGTCTGAGAAGCCAGTAGTAGATCAACAAATGTTCAAATTGACAGGTTAATGGCAGGTCTTTCTGTACTAGTCACCTTGCAAGACATAATTAATATCATGGTTGACAGTCTACTCATCAATGATATAACTTGTAAGACAAGCTGTTTGGACACATTAATGAAATTTCATTCATAAACTCACAAAATGTACAAAACCATGGGCTTCAATGGTTTCAAAGTTTAAAATAATCACTCTCAATGCCATTTCTCTGAATAAGTTGTGTTTGTTTTAGGTGACCAGGACTTCCTCTGAGAGCATTGCTTCGGTCCCTCCATCGAGTGCCTCAGGCTCTCCAAGCAGAGTCATCTATGTAAGACTTTGCCATCTGTACACAACACAGCAGGAGTTAAACTTTGTTTCTTTGTATAAACAAATTATATGTCATATGTTTGATACATCAGAGCTCATAAGAGTATGTTATTGATAAATTGATATTTTCTTCTTATATGTTTCTTTTGCCACCAGGCTAAACTAGGCGAAGAGATGCTAGATTACAAAGATCTAGCAGCTCTTCCAAAGACCAAGGCCATCTATAACATTGACAGGCCAGATATGCTGTCCTATTCTACGCATGTCAGCTACCCATCTGAGGAGAGGCACTACGGAGAGGTATAGCATCTTCTGTCAGGTTTTTGATTAAGCTTTCTGCTCATGTCTCTTCATCTTTCAATTAACCAGACTTATTTATTCCATACATGCAAGATATTTTTTAAAAACATTTACCTATAAGGATTCTGTACTTGTGGTCTTAAAGAAAGCTATCTCTACATTAAACAAAAAATGGCTGCCCAGTTTTTTTAAATTATAAAGTGATAAGATAATGCAGTTGTAAATTATCAAAGTAGATGCGAATCCCAAATCAATTGTTTTACTTTTCACACAAATTTATTACACTTTTTCCAGACAATCATTAAGAAGATTATCATTGAGGTTACAGAATCCTGATTTCTCATTTTCATCATCTCAACTGAAAGAAGCAGAAAAACTTTTAAAGGTCTTCAGAAAGCCCTGATAACTTTAGCTCAAGATTACTTTTTGATAAGAAAAAAACTGTGTGAATGAAAAATATGAATAAATTATTGCTCATTACTTTTCTAAAGTAGAGTAAAAAGTAAAAATAACTTTTGACCGCAATGTGCAAAAAGACGACATTTGCAGGTAAAAAATATTCCACCACCAACTCTGATGATATTTGTCTTTTCACATTTTGTTGCTTTTTTGTTACACACATGAAAAAAAAAAAAAAAACACAGGGAGACAGGAAGTAGCAATGTACATCAAAATAACACTGGGAAAATAGAAACCAGAAGGGGCTGAGGAAACAAAACCAAAAACAATTAGAAACAACGGCCAGCACAAATTAAAATAAAACCATTAAAAAATAAAACATGAAAACAAGACACAGAGGACAGAGACAAACTAAGGATAATTGAAACAAGAACCAAGTAACAACGAACATGAAAACAAAACAAGAATATCAGACATTCTTAAATAACATAGAACAAGAATCCATTCATCCATCCATCTTCTTCCACCTATTCAGAACTGGCTTTAGGGGCCAGCAGTTGCCGAAGTAGGGAAGGCTATACTCCCCTCTCCTCGACCATGTCAAATAGCTCATCTGGGGGGATATTGAGGCATTCCCAGGCCAGTCGAGTGACATAATCCCTCATTTCAGCTGCTTGTGTGACTGAAAGAACAAGATCGACTCATGGTTTCAGTCACTACCCACAGCTTTTGACCATAGGTGAGGTTAGGAATGTACATCAACCAGTAAATCTAGAACTTTGCTTATTGGCTCAGCTCCTTCTTCACCACGACAGGCCGATGCAGAGTCTGCGTGACTGGAAGATGCTGCACCAATCTGTCTGTCGATTAGAGATTAGACCACTTTATTGATCCCACAGTGGGGAAATTCACACGTTACAGGGCAGAAAGAGAGAAACACAAGCCTAGTAGAGGCTAAAGGTAAAGGTATTTACAGTTTGAGTTAACAAAGTATTGCAAGCAAGTGATGGACAAATAATAAAAAAATGTCAAATGTAACTTCACATTCGGCTGTGAATCTCTCCTGCGAGACCTGGAGAACCCGGCCCGATGAACCCCACAGAACTACATCATCTCCAAAAAGCATAAAGACCACCAAACTAAATCCCTTCAACATCTGGGCAGCACCTAGAAATTCCTTCCATAAGGTTTATGAACAGAATCTGTGACAAAGAACAGCCTTGGCGGAGTCCAACCCTGACTGGAAATTAATCCGACTGACTGCCGGAATTGCGAACCAAACTTTGGAACTGGGCGTACAGGGACCAGACAGCTTGAACAAGTACTTCATACTCACAGAGCACCCCCCACAAGAGTACCGGGGGAACACAGTCCTGAAGGACACTGAAGAGGGTGTAGAGTTTGCCCACTGTTATACTGCCTGGATGAAAACCGCACTGCTCCTGCTCCTTCAATCAACATTCCACTATCTGACTGACCCTCCTCTCCAGGAAGCCTGAATGGACCTTACTAGGGAGGCTGAGGAGTGTGATCCCCCTATAGTTGGAACACACCCTCAGTCCCGCTTCTTAAAGAGGGGGACCACCAGCCCAGTTTGCCAGTTGCTTGGCCTTCCGATACCTGTAAGTTGCCTCCCGAGTCCCACAAGCCAAAGAGGCCTGATAGGAATCCTTCTTCTGCTTGACCGCATCCCTCACTGCTGGTGTCTACCAACAAGTTGTGGGATAACCACCACTACAGGGACCAACAACTTTGCGGCCACAACTCCCGTCAGCCGCCTCAACAATAGAAGCACGGAACGTAACTCACTCGGACTCAATGTCCCCCACTTCCCTCGGGACATGGTTGAAGTTCTGTCAGAGATGGGTGTTGAAACTCTCTCAGACAGGGGACTACGCCAGATGCTCCTTGCAGACCTTCAACAAGTCGCGGCCTGACAGGCAACTTCCGTCACCATGTGATTAAACTTACCACCAGGTGGTGATCAGTTGACAGCTCCGCCCTTCTCCTCACCCAAGTTTCCAAGACATACAGCCACAAATCTGATGATATGACTACAAAGTCGATCATCGAACTGCAGCCTAGAGTGTCATGATACCCGATATACATGTTGAGACACCTGATCTGGACCACTCGGATCCGTTCCACCCAATCACACCGCTCCAAGACACGCTGCCATTGCGAAGCACTAGTGAGCTGCGACCGCAGCTCCGGGAAGCCGCGTCGACAATGGAGGCACGGAACATGGCCCACTCGGACTCAATGTCCCCGATCTCCCCCGGAAGGTTCTCAAAGCACTCCCGGAGGTGGGAGTTAAAGCTCCGCCTAACAGGGCACTCCGCCAGGTGCTCCAGGCAGACCCTCACAATGCGTTTGGGCCTGCCTGGTCTCACTGGCATCTTTCCCCACTATCGTCGCCAACTCACCACCAGGTAGTGGTCAGTGGAAAGCTCCGCCCCCCTCTTCACCCGAGTGTCCAAGACATGCGGCCGCAGATCTGCTGAAACTACAACAAAGTCGATCATTGAAAGAACATTTATTTTCATTTGCATACTCATAATCTAGCAGACATCTCTGTCTGAAAATGTAATAAATACTTTCTTCTATTTATGTCTTCGTGTACCCAGGGTGATGGTGAGAAGTCACCACGTCAACGGAGGCCTTCTAGCCCCAGCTCCAACAGCTCTCTGGGGGGCTACGGACGATACACCCCATCCCGCTCCCCTCAGAACTACAGCCGAGCAGGTATCACCATAAGACTGAATTTATCAAATGAAATTCAGTCTTAAATTGTTCTGAAATTTAGACATATGAGTACATCCCCTTGACATATTGTTTAATTGCATTAGTGCTCTTTGATGCTATAGCCTCGCCTTAGAGATTAAGTAGAGTTTTGGAAAAATGGAGTACAGATTAACTTGGCCCACTGTTCAAGACAAACCCATCTGCTACAGACATCACAAATAATGAATTCATTTCCTTTATTTTCAAAAGATTCACCTGTGGAGACCACATACTGTACTATAAAAATACAAAAAAACAGAAGCAGAATTATATATTTACTCCTTTATTATTAATGACTGCCAATATTACCTTTCATGATTGGAATCTGAAAAATAGCTGGAAAATCATTTAAAATATCTGCATTACACTTGAAATTAGAACAGTGGTGGTGATGAAATATAGTATTAAATAGGAAAAGTGCAGTTCATGTGTTACTTTAACAATAATTCTACTTATTGAGATTAAATAATAAAAATTTGAATACTTCAATTGTTGGTGTTTCCAAGGAAATCATGTCAAATAGTCACTGAGTAGTAAATCTGTAACTCAACATGTTTTCTGTGATCTGATTGGACATCCAGGACCTGTGGTGCACCTTGCTGGTAGAAACAGAAGCCAAGCCCGTGACTCCACTTCTCTCTCATCGCCCCCTGCCCACAGGGGTGATATTAAGTACCCTTCCAACTGGGTCATGGATTTGCACCATTTTAGTGGGGCTGAAGGGAGTGGTGGAAGTTGTATTGATACTCACTCACCTACACCATCAGGTGGCAGTGCAGGCTTTTCTTTACAGCTCAATCCCACTACACTGGCCATGCTGCAGCAGCATAACTACATCCCTTACTTCAGAGGTATCAAAGCCAATGTGAGACCTGCGCAGACATTGAATGAGTTACTGGGATTATTGCTGCTGTCAAATTCAAGGGGTAAACGGACAAAAAGATCCGATTTGTTACACCATGCACAGAGGTGTTTTAAGGGATAGGCCTTGAATTTTGGAACAGAGCCATAATTCTCGTGAAAGTATTCATTTAGACAGGCTCCATCATGCAGCAACATACCAGTTTACTCGGTGTTTGTCTTTATTTGAACGTGTGACAGAATGGAGTGTTGTCATACGACAATTGAACTAACTTCTCTTGGCATGGGCTCGGTTAAACACTAAATTGTTTATGTGTTGGAAACTCTGTTGGTCTCTATTTTCACCATAGACTGAAAAACTATAATGGTAAACAGAAAATCTCTCCTGGTGTGCTCTTTGGGTCTATGACCACTGTTTGATCACTTATAAAGGATTATTTTTTATTGTTATATGAGCTGAAGCTATGAAACTTCTAATTCTACCTAACAACATAACACATCCTTGAAATTACATCATGAAGCAGTAATGTACAGTATACACTCCCCACATACTCTGTAACCTATGTCCATCCAAGACCCCTTGCATCTCCTGATCCTTTGATTTTCCCCTCATTATTAGCAAGTTTTGCAATACTCTTGTCTGGTATTGTGCTGTTTGCGGTTTTCAAGCGGTGCATGAAGGTAATTTACACCCAGTTTTTTCATTGTGCTTAGCCTATTTACTTATTTCCGTGCACGTGTTTTTTGTTGCGAATGGTTGAACTCCACTTGGCATTTTCCTTTTGCATTTGGTTAAGGATAATGTCATTTGTGTCATTATCTGTTTAGAATGCAGACCCAGTTGTTTCCCTGCATGTAATATCAAATGTCTAACAAAAGATACGCAGGAATTTGGTAATGATTTTTGGGGGTATCCGTTGTAATTGGCATTATATGATTGAAGCACATAATTAGTGCCAAATTAGGTTTGACACCTGGACATTGGCATTTTTTCATGAAAGAGCTTAAGATGTTTGGTTTTCAACCAAAGAGAAGGAGATCACACCATGAGAATTTCAAATGAAACTGTAATTTACAGCTTGGTTTATGAAACCAACATAGCAGATTATTAAGAGTGATAATTAACACAGATTTAATTCCTCAGGTCTCATAATATGACATCATTTGTAAAATTACTTTTTATATTAAGTTACTTCTATTGTACCCTACATAAAAATCTCAATTTTTTTTACCCAAACCGCTCTATTTTCCAGCCCTTTCAAATAACTATATGAAGAAAAATGTCCTAAATATGTTTTAATACGTTGTAGCGTCTGATAAGGCAATTAACAAATTAAATGGATTCCTCTCCTTGATCCTTTATTATGGTACAAGTAGAGCCCCACGGTGTACTTGCCTTTGGTTGATCTGTTTTGAACAGAACATTATAAACTAAAAAGATTTACAAATTTTTGGAAATGTCCAACAATAAAGTGCATTCAGTTATTAGCTTTTTCAGCTTCTTTGCTTCCCAAATACAAGAGAATTCAATAATGCCCATGGCAATAACTTTTTCATACTGCGAAAATAACAAAGATATTGTAGATAAGATTAAAAAAGAACGATAAATGAATTAAAATCCAATAGCATAAGTCTATGTGCCATAACAAACTAACCTTACTCTACTCTTGTCATGATATCAAGACTTGACACAGAGTTTTATCAGAAACTGGTTGGAGTAACCAGATATATTAACAATATCGACATATAGGTTTCTTTGTTCCACAGTGCTTGTTCATCCACAGCAAATATAAATTTAGTCTCTTTACAGAGCACCTAGTTGTGCATCAGGTTGGACGGTGCAGTCCAACCTGATGCTTTTATTTTAAGCAGTTTTAAATACCAGACAAATCGGTACAAAGAAAAATAAAGAAATATTTCACTTGTAGTTTAAACCTTTTGGGCAAGGCAGGAGGTTTTAATAAATAAAACAACCTAATTTGCTTTATGTGCTTTATAAATCTTTTAAAGTATGAGCATGTGGTTATTAAAAGAAGGTTATTAAAACAAGGAAGTAAAGACTGAGTCTGAGTTTCTTAGCCTGTTTACAGCTTTTTCATGTTGGGATGGAGAGAGTGTGCAAGGAGTTTTAAGTGCGGACGATGAAAGAAATAAAGCAATTAAATTGATAAAGTGTGCCAAGCTGTCGTACAACAGGTATATCTAACTTTTATCATCTATAAACCATGTTTTCCCAAGTCTTTTCTGTTTTGTTTTGGAGTCAGGATTCATGGATATACTCAGAATTGTGCAATCTATTCTAAATAAATTGCCTGCATATGTTTGCTTGGAGTATCTTCTCAACATTTAGACCTACATTAACAGTGTGCAAATCTTTCTCAGCATTTGTGCTGCTTTTGTGTGTAACTATGCACGGATCCCTCCTACATGCACACCATTCCTTTGTGTGTCAGTGATCTCATCCACTTGCATCCAGATTGTTAATAATTATTCTTTCTCAAAGGAGAAGAGTGTGTTGAGTCAGCGGACAGTCACTCCCTTAAAGCTCTGGATGTAGGATGTTTATTACTTTTGGCATTGATGGTGCCAGTGACTCCATCATCCAGCCGTGCTATGACAGAACAGATTTTTGGATAAATGCCGATCCTTGATTAAAGATACCCAGATCAGACATATGCAGCCATGTCAGTTTGCATTTGAACTCATACAAAACACACATAATGGTGTGTCTTGTGTCTAAAAGGAGACCATGTTTGATGTTAATATATTTTTTTAAACCCCCAAAAATCTTTAGTTAGTGTTCGATTTGGTTGTTCTGGCGTTGTTTCAGAGATGTGGAATTTTTATGATCATCAGTTTCCATGTTTAACTGATATGGTCCTTGCACATTAACCTGCTGACAATAATATAATGAGGACTGAGACTTTTTGTTCATTTTTCAATGCCCAGAGTATTTACAGCCTACCGACTCAATAGTTCTTGAGGCACATCATTATTAGTAACTAACAGGGAAATGCTTTCTGTAATTTAGAGGCAGCGTTAGACCCATGCATGTCGGACACAAATATGTCCTGAATATCCTGAAAATTCAGAATACATTAGATTGGTAATTAGATTGGAATAATAGACATTATTATTGTATTACATTATGCAACATTATCTGCAGAATTGTACAGGAATTCTTCATCAGATTCACAATCTACTAATTCTATGAAGAGAATCAGAATCAGAAATACTATGATAATCCCAGATGGGAATTTTTTAAACATTTGAATCCGAATTTTATATATAATCTTTATTTAATATGCTTACCATAACGCTGCCTTTTCCCCCTCGCATCCTTTCTTTTTTCCCAAACCCTTCCCTTTTTGCCTTTCACCTCCACTGCACACCCACTTCTGTCCCCCACTGGAGGTAGTGAAAGTGGTCGGAGTACCCCAAGCTTATCCACCTATTCCGATGGCAAATCCCCCTCATCTACCTCTACATATGTGGCTGCTCCTCGACATTTCCACGTACCAGGTAGGCCATAACTGTCCTGCTTTGCTAAGAGATTAGCTAATGACTTCTGTGCACCATTATATTGTTGCCTAGGTTGTTAGGTGATTAGGTGAAACACAAGGTAAGCTAAGAGCTATCACCAGACAAGCTTTTCAAAAATAAAACTTTGGCGCATATTAAAGTTTCCATCTGTTTTCTATAGCTGCTTGTTCCATTTGCAGTTTTCATTTGGCAAAAGGCAAGACACGCCATGGACAGGTTGTCAGCCCATCAGAGGGCCACAGGCATACACATAAAAAAGACATTAAACCATATTCACACACCAAAAGACAATTTAGTATAAACAACATGCTTGTCTTTGGGGCGTGGGAGACATACAAACTCCTCACGGTTTCTGAGTTTAGCCCCATCCGAGATTTAACCCAGAATCTCTGATGTTAAGCAACATGAACAGGATGAACAGCCTCTACTAAATATCTCCACCAATACAATGGGTTTTAAATTCAGCTGTAAAACCTCTAGTCATCATGTTTTTTATTGAAATTTGATTGTTTTCTTTCCATAAAATTTGCTAAGATTGTGATATTCACATCAAATTGGTTGCATGAAGCATAAATGTTTGAGATTTATTATCACTGATCCTCTCATTTTCTGGTATAAGATTTGGTACTTCCAAGCTAGATTTAGTCGATGAATCTATCTACTGACAAATCTATTGTCTCATATTTCAGAATCAAGTTAAGTAAAAACAACAGCAAATAATGATCCACTTAATAGCTTTCATAGTTTTTGTCCTTACAGATTTTGTGTGGCTATTGTTTCAGATGCTAAAAGACACTGAAACAAGCCACAAATAGACATCTCTTTTTATTGGTTTAATGTTTACAAGCTATTTCATGTTTTCATTTTATCTTTGACAGAGTCCAATAAACAATAACATATATATATATTTATGTATGTGTATATATACACGTTTTTAATTACATTTTTATTAAAAACAGATGTTTGTGGTGTAATGAAAATAATATGGTATGCTATGACTCAAGCTAAACTATGCCCTCTCTTAACCATCCTAAAATATTGCATCATTCAATAACTGCTAACTCATGCTTCTTTTTTTTCCATTTCTCTTTCTTTCTCTTCCCCTGCAAATGTTGGCTTCTTCCATTTCCTTTCGTCTGATCTGTTCTCATCTTCAGAGACTATGGTCAAAGATAATATCTATAGAAAACCCCCCATCTACAGACAGCATGGTATAGTCCACTTCCTCTATAACACTTACCTCTATGGTCTGGTCTCTGCATGATGTGTTGCATGTCAGTCATCTGATACATCCCAGTTTTGTTTAACCATTTCCATGGTCTGCAATCATTCATTTGAGTCTATGATTTCATATGCAGTATCATAAGGGAATCTTTTTTTCTTTACAATAGAATATAGAAAAATATATTGACCTCAGAGAGACTCTAAGTTGCTGGTAAGAGGTGGTCTTTTTATGCTAAATCATATAATGATTTAAGCCATTTTAAACCAATTAGTTGCAACTTCATTTTTGGTACTAATTACTTTTTAATTCCTTTTTGCTCTATCTGGCCCAACTTTTGAGATTGTTTCCTGCCATTCATTTAAAGATTAGCCACTATTTTCCCATGAAATACGAAATGTCTCCCTTTAAACATTTGATGATTGATTTAGTTTTTGTTTTGTATTTTACATAGAATCCCAACGTTTTGGAATAAGGGTTTTGTAATAATAAATAGCCTTTAATTAAAAGAATGTCTTTTATTGAACAACTTCCCACAGCAAAAAGTTAAATTGCTGAGATTACAAGAACATTAAACAAATTAGTTAGGAGGAAGGACATAGACAAAAGGACAGGACAGCGATATAAATAAAGGTCTACATATTAGAGAAGCATTTTAAATTGTTCACAAGAGAGAAAATGAAACTGCTAGAACTTGGTTAGAGGAACCTTGTGTTGCCGAATTTTGGATATGCTCGTAATAAAAAGCAACCTAGCAACACAAGGTATATCTGTGGGTAATTCAGCCCATCTGGGACTGAAGCTCTTCATTTTCATGCATGTTTTCATTCATCTTACAAATTGATTTATTGGTTTCAGGGTGATCTGTGACAGTGTGCAGACTAGGAATGATCAGGCACATGAATCCGTTTGTATAGTGACTTTAGAGTTGTTTTCATCTGTTTCATGACGTGTTTCATTCCTGTGTTCTATTTTGTGCAACTGATTATGGTGTTTCAGTGTCCATCTATTAGCCCAGGAGCTATATGTTGCATATTTTCTAAGACACAACTTTGTACAAATATAACAAAGGTTTTTCACGTAAGTAGCAGAAGGAAATACACAATTTTATCAAATGTAAATGAACTGCATATGCACATACAATGTGCAGTGGTTAAGGAAGTAGACCTGGCCCAGTTCACTTCTTCTTTCATAGAGCAGTTGTTAAATGGGATGCCCCTGTGAATGTTGTCTATCAAAATACATTAAACAGATTTTACTGATATTCAGTGACAGTCAATATTGTAACAAAATACTTGTTGCATTATCAAACACGCAGATTTTTTTCTTTATTACCCCTGAAATAGAATAATTTTGTCCCAAAAATGTTAAATGAAGCCGATCATCGAATCTTCATCAGATTATTGTATACTTTTACTAATTTTATCCATTAGACAGGAAGTTTTAAAAAATCAAGGAATTAATTTCAGGGTATTATGATTTCTCAAAGCAGATATTTTATTTATCTGTCAAATAGAAAGGTGTCAGTTAAGAAATAATGGCCATGCACTGAGACCCTGCTCCAATTGTTCCTTGTTACAAGAGGAAGCTACCTTTTTGTAAAACTGCTAATTGTGGTCAGCTATCCCCTAAACCGGTGCTTTGATGGCTATTTAGTTGGAAAAATTACCATTACTCCTTGTTGAATCTACCTTACCTATAAGCATTCAAACTTTGGGTCAGAGCCATGGGGTAGGACCCATGGAAAACATTTAAATTTAGTCTAAATTTAATTCATTTTAGTCAAATCATCTGAAATCTCCCTCAAGCACTACAAATTTCCCCACCAATTTTAGTTTTAACCAACACTATAGATAATGTCATTTCTTGAGTAAAGACATTTTCTGTTCATTATTGTCTCCTATGGTGTATTATTTTATTGTAGTATTTTAGAAAATGCTATCTCTTCTTCTACGCTGTGCATGCAGATCTCTTTCTAGATATTGTCTGAAGCTGATTATATCATGCTTCAAAGGTAGAGTTCAGTGCCCTGGAGCTAATAGACAAATAACCCAGCACTTTGACTGGGACATGCTGTAACATCTAACTGTTTTACAGCTTCTAGAACATCCTGGCAGGATGGTGAGGATAGCAAGGTGGGTCTGTGTGTTTAGTTTGTGTGTGCCTTGATGTGTTAATATCACTTTTCAAGTCATTATCCATCACTGCTATCTTTTTATCATTCTTTCCTTCTGCCGTTCCCTTTGTAGAGAACCAGTTGGATGATCTTGAAGGGTGAGATTGATGGCCAGATGGGTCTGGAAGAGCATGACCCCTGCAAATCAACATGCAGTTTGCCCATTGACGTATCCCAACCCAGTGAGTAATCGTTCGCTTCATTGAATGAGGACTGAAACTTGAAAAGAAAATAAAAATCTTTCCATTTCCATAGATTTCCCCTACAACAAGTCTGCATCTTTACCCGGTTATGGAAGGAATGGCATCTACAAGGTGATCTAACAACATTTTTCATTTATCGCAGTCTGCAGTTTCCCCACCAGATGTTAATAATCTTGTGATGTCGGCAATAGCCGACACATAGTTGCATGAATTTATTTTTTTTTGTGTGAATATGACTACTACTTAGATATAGCGCCATGTATTAGGTGCCACTAGGTGCCCTTTTTTCAAATATGGCAGGCCTTCCAACCCCCCCCCAGTCTATACTAATTATCCCATTAAACCTTTGTGCACCGTGTAATAACAAGGTAGTGGCCAGTAACTGTTGTTCATATGTAGAACAAATTTTCAGACAGACAACATTAAGAAAGCACAATTATATAACAATTATATTTTTATTTACCATATCTATGTTCTCATCAGAGGTTTGACCCAAATTTTATCAAGAATTATTTCCATGTTTGTTAAGAACCAATGAACCAATGAAGAACCAATACTGACATGGCTAGAGCTATATGCCCCCACTATTACAAATTATCATCTTAAAGGAATAGTTTGCAACTTGTATACTTTTGGTGAAGTTGAAACAATATATGAACAGAGTATTTCTTGAAAAGACATGAAATTACTTCATTTCAATCTGTCATATTAGTCACAGAATTTGACTGTCTGGCTTTAACTCCATCAACCAGAGAAAAAGAGACCTTTTATATTGCATGTCCTTTTTGAGGGCTCTTTGTGGTATTGTGGTCAGTACTCACCTATACTGGCTTGGGGCCTTTTCTTTGTGGATTTGATATGTTGTCGCCATGTATGCATGGGTTCTCTTCAGATACTCTGGCTTCCTCCTACTGCCTAAACACATGAATGTTAGGTTGATTGGTGACTCCAAATTGACCATGGGATGAGGATACATGGTTTTCTGTCTCGTTTCTCACTGTAATCTATGGGGACATGTCCAGGGTGTACCCTTCCTCCCCGTGACAGCACCAGCTACAACCCAATGTACTTGGAATAAGTGGGTATGAAAAAAGAAATGGATGTGCATTTTGACTAATATCCATACTATTAAGATAGTCCCTAACTAATATCCTATCCAACTTTCCATACCTGCTTTATGCAGTTTAGGTGTACTGGTGCACTGGAACCTGTCTGTGAAATAAACATTAATACTGTATGTCCTAAAATCATGACATTAAACATCTGTAACAAGATATACTGCATTAGTATATATTTCAAAGGAGTTTATTGTAAAAAACAAAACAAAAAAAACAATAATAATAATTGTTCATTTTACAGTCAGTGTATGTGAAAAGGATGGTATTTATTTGTAAAATTGATATGTTACTGTATTATAAACACCAAAAATGTATAATTCTTGAACCAACCAATACAGTCAAATTTACAATATAGCTTGTTTTAAAGAACTGAAATAAATAGTATATCATTTTACAAATTCAGTTGTTGTGATTTACTGTTAAATGCGTTAGGCGTAATTATGATTACATGAAGAAGTTAAGACTTATAGGCTACTAGAAATTTAGTCCTCGTCAAAAAATACATTTTTACACTAGATTGACAGCTCTTTAGTCATTAATCAGTTACCAGTTTTTTTAATAATATTATAATTATATTAAGGTTATAATATTATTTAATCAGGTATTTAGTGTTTTAAGTTTTAGTTTACACAGTATGTGGTTAAATACACAGCCCAGAGGAGACATGGGGGGTAAAATGATGAGTGAAAAAGAAAAGGAGGTTTGCCCCCCCCCCCAATAAAAATAAAAAAACAGTTTTTTGCCGTAAATTTAAGTTTGATATGATAAATTACATGAAACACAAGCTTCTACCTGGGTGGCATAGTGGTGTGGTGGTTATCACCATCACCTCACAAAAATGGATGGATGGACACCCTTTAACCAAAATAAGCAGTAAAATTCATAATTTATAATAAGGCTTTTGCCATTTAATAATGCTGATTATTTATTGATTTTAAGTCAAGCTGAACGGGATGAGATGTAAAACAAGCGACCTCCGCATGTACATTGTACAGGAAAAAATGGCTTTTATAGAGACATTGTCATGCAAATTTGGTTGAAACGGAATGTTGAATGAACCAGTTTTAACAGCATGCATTTTACTGCAGGCTGCTGAAATGGTGGAGGATGACGTTGATCCTGACAGTCAGAGCTGGGGAGGCATGAGGGGTAAGACTAAACATCGATTCAAGTTGTTGATCTTCAGTTCTACGCTTCATTTTGATGAGTAAACCACTAAAATACCTTTACATGTAGTGCATTTTTGGATGTTTAATGATGGTGTTGACAGATTTAAACCGTATACAGGTTTAAGGACAAGTAGAAGAATGTCAGTCCCTCTGCCAATAGTTGACTAGCTTACAGTTAAAGTCATCTAAAAAAAGCTGCCTACAATTAAGGATTACAACAGAAAAATGCACTTTTTTAGGCCTGTTACCTGATAATCAAATAATAGTTATGTAAGGCTTACATAACTATTATACATAACTACTATTATTATTATTATATACCTTTCCAGGTTGTATCTTGCCCATTTCCATCTGTAATAGGCTCCAGAACCCCAATGTCCCACGAAGACTAAACAGTATAGACAATGGATGGATGATAAGTTATTTTTTTCCTGATACATTTGGCCTCTGTTTAAGCAACTACAGAATAAATAAATAATCTGCATCCGCTATTTTATCAGTTATACAGCGGTCAGATGTACCTAGATGTCTTCTAAATTGGTACAAGCAATTTTCAAGTGATTTGGACTCAATGTAGAATGACAGTTTATTATTGGCTTTAGGCATCTGCAAATTATTGACTGAGATTTTTAAAACACCCCAAAAGTTAAGTTCTAATTTGACAGTGAGTTAAAAGCCAAACACTTTCGAGAGCCTAATAGTTTGACTCTTGGATCTCTGCTGTAAGATTGAAACTGTTTTACTTTTCTCTGATCATAGATACTGATAAAAGATAAATTGTAATTCATGCAAAATGTGGCACTGAACTGTTATGTTTCTCTTTAAAGCTTAGTTGATTTGTTTCCCATTAGCAAAGCAGACAACACATTTTTTTTTTTACATTAAAAGCTTCTAAAATAAATGCTACTAAGTACACACTTTTATACCTCCAAATGATTTATGAGCATGAAAATCAATTGAGTTTAGATTCAAACACTAAAATCCTTCTTGTTTTTAAGCTTCATTCATGAAAAGTTCACTTATGTACAGTCTGAAACCATCCTAAATATCAAGCATTTAGAGCCTTGCTACTCATCTACAAATCAGCTACCGTACTTGAGGTAAACAGTGTTGAGGAGTGATACCATTTTCAAGTTGCAATTCCTGCTGTGTTTATTGAGCACATGTGTACAAATTCTGTCTGTATCTGGCAAGGAGTGAGATTGTACGATTGGATTAGAGGGGTCTGCAGTTCAAATAAATGGTTTTATCAGACTAACTCTCTTTTTTTCTGTTCTTCCTCAGAGTACAAGGTAAGAACATGTTTATACATACATATATACATTTATACAAGATATCCAATAGTCTTACGTGATTGGGTTGAACTTTAATAGATGTATTAACTAATATATCTTCTCACTTGTGTGTAAGGTCTATCCCTATGAGATGTTGGCAGTAACACATAGGGTGAAAGTTAAGCTTCCCAGAGATGTAGATCGTACCAGACTGGAGGTGAGTTTTGAAATTCTGAATGCAGACAAATTTAGTTTTGTAGCATGTCGGTTGAATTGTAAGCAGTAAATAATTTACACTCAACAGAATAAGTAACCTTGACACAAATCATTCTGAATAAATCAAATGAATGTTCATGTTTGCACAGAAAACACACAACAATATCCTTTCCTCTCAGTTTTATTTCTAATTTCTCTCACAGATCTGTACACATACCTTAATGCATTTTTGATGTGTTTCTGTTCAGTTCTCTAAGCATTCTTCTTCAACCTGAAACAGCATATTTGTTCCACTATTCCAACCATTCAGCCTTTTTTTTTTAACAAGAAGATAGATTTGTATTTTTGCTGTGTTAACTTGTCTGTGGACTGGAATGAACACACTTGACCAATGCTTTGAAAGGAATGATCAATCAGTCTTCTGCAAAAGTAATATCATACTGATTTAGACTCACTCACAGAAACAACAAAAAGACTGAGCAAAGAGATGTGACACCTAACGCAAGTCCAAAAGATGCAATGCAAATATGTGGTGTATTAGCTTGACTGGAAAAACTGGTGTTTATATGGAGGTGATGGGCTTTCGTCTATTTGGGTAAATCAGACAATATGAGATATGAGCTGAGTGGGGTTGTCAGGTTGGAATGACAGCTAGAGTTGGGTATCGACAGCAGCAGTAGCATGAGAAGCCATCTATGATCTGGCCCAGAAGGAGGTGTATATGGCAAAGAGAAGAGGTCCCAGTACTGAACCTTGGGGGACCCCTGTAGCAAGGTGGTGTGCTACAGAAGTGTGACAAAGCCAGCTTCAAATGATCGACCAGTCACGTACGATTAAAGCCAAGAGTGGGCTTCCCCTTTGATGCCCATGTTATAGAGTGTGGACAGAAGGATGTTGTGATTGACTGCCAAATACAGCCCACAAGTCGAGCAGAATAGGTACTGAGGATTTGGCTCTGGCTCTGGCATTTCAGTCGAGTAGCCACTTTCAAACCCAGATCGGTTCGGGTCAAGTTGTTGTTTTGTGACAGGTTCTGTGACCTGCGTAAAAACTGCCCTTTCATAATCTTAGGCAGAAATCCAGCCGATAGTTCTCCAGTCGGTGGAGAGAAGTTATCAGAGCAGCAGTGTAACCCAAGTTTAGATACTAAATGTCTTAATCCTGATTTATAAAGATGATTTCCATCGTCCTGAAAAAAAAAAAAGTAATCCAAGCAACCAAGATATTTGGGTGTAATGTTGTAGGATCAAGATATTCTAGACCTCTGACCACAGAAAAGTGCATGGCACATCTCCAGTGTCAGTGAGCTCTTTTTAATGATCCTCCTGGCTACACTATCACAATAGCTACAAAGAGCTCCGAGTGATGGATTAAGAGTGGATTTTGGAACAAGTAAAGATCAATGTCAAGTAAACCTGAATTGCCTGGTCAACATGAATAACCTGGAAGCAAGTAAGAATGTTTATCTGCCTTGTTTCCGTTTTCAGAGACATCTATCTCCTCAAGACTTTCTGCAGGTTTTCGGCATGACACTGGAGCAGTTTGACCGCCTTGCACTCTGGAAGAAGAACGACATGAAGAAGAAAGCCCGGCTTTTTTGAACAAAAAAAAGTTTTTAAAAAGATGTCGAGAGCTATCCAAAAGGAAACAGAAAACAGAAACAATTCATCTGAAGTAACGAAATGTATCACCATAATACCCTGCTTTCAGCTATGAAATGTATGGTTGTCTGCTTGTGAGGAAATGGAGATCAACTGACAGTGAGGACATTTTCACAACATTTGAACAGCATCCAAAGCTTTATGCTGCAGTATGGTCTGAATGTTTGACGTAAAACTTTACACAGGAGAATGAAGAGCAGCGTTTGCATGGCCTGTGTTTAAGCTCCTTGCCTCCCAAGTGGTTTTGCATCCAGCCGTCTTCTACCTACTTGTTTCAATAAACCTTGAAGGTTTATAATAATGTAAAGAATACAAATAGCTTTTTCTAATTTCTGGCCACATTTCTGTGGCTCTGCTCGTGTCATGTGTACATTCACTAACTCTTGCAGTCTTAACCCGTCTCCCTTTCTGTATTTAATTTGTTTGCTCTTTGCAAGACATCATTGTGTTGCTTTACTCAACATATCATTGTGTTGCTTTCCTCAACATATCATTGTGTTGCTTTCCTCAACATATCATCTGTTTGCTGTGGTGCTTTTTATTTTTCATAGTCTAGGTAGCCTTACCAAGTGACTGTTACTAACATAGTCAAGTCAGTTCATTTCTGCACCATTTTCATTACATACAGGGCCTGAGGAATTAAAGATTTGTGCACGATAACTCATCAAGCATGTTGAGGCTAAATGTCTTTGGCAACAGACAAAAGATAAGAAAGATAAGAAACAACTTTATCCTTCCTAATATTATACTTTACTACATATTGAACAGAAAAATTATATAATTTTACGTTTTTATTTTTTTATTTTCCCTTTTTTCCTTTCAACTAGAGAAGCTGGATACTTTAAAAGTATGCCATGTAATTTCTGAATACGATTCCATCTCTTAAAAAAGCCTCTCAATAATCAGACTACTAAGAATAGTACCTGCATTTGAACCCTTGCACAATATAGACTTGCAGTTACGTATTGGGGAATGATTAAAATAAGGAAAGCTTGCATATTGATTAAACAGTGTATAAAGGTGTCAAACAGGATTGCCCAAGTGGCATGCACTCATATCAAGAAATAAATATTTTTCTAAACTATTTTTGACTCTATGAAAGGATCCTTGAAGCAATTATTAAATTGTAGCTGGTGGAAATCTTTGTCTTTTTACAAAGAAAAAACAAGTTCTTGCTAAACTCGGTTCAGCCTCACAGGTCTGCAAAGGAAATGATGATTAACAAGCAGTCTCGCCAATAAACTCAATACTCATATCCATGTTTGTTGTTTGAAAGGGTTGTCGTTTGAAAGCCTTGTAGCTTACAGAAAAAGCTACGTTTTTAAGATGAAAGCCATCCGCTTTGCTTGATTTTTCTGGACCATTAACTGATAAACATCCCAACATATTCTGGATGTATGTTAACATATACTGGACATATATCAGATCTGTCTGTTTAAAAACTATGATGTATAACTCTAGGCATGCATGAAGATCAAATAATGTTGTTTGAGTGATTTAATTTTTTTGATGATCATTTAATGATTAAACCATTATATGTCTAGGTCTGGCCTTACATTTGCTTGTATTAGGTATTTTTTAAAATGCAGTGTAGAGACAATTATTCTCCCTCAAAACCATAAGAAGAATAGTGTCAAATGCAAAAGCATCACTTAGAAGACCTTTGCTAAAAACAAACATATCAATGTTTTGGTTTATTCTGTGTTGGATAAGATGTTGCTTCTGTAACATGCCAACTGTTGTCATAAATGTTTGTGTCCTCTGTCTAAAATTCATGGGCTATTAAAGTGCTTTACTCAAACTATATCACTATGTTGAATTGGATAAGTTTTTCAAATAGAAGTCAAAACCTTTTAATCAATGACGTCTTCAATTAATGTGTAAAGCATCCATACCTAAAGACAAAAAAAGGGGAAAAATAAAAGAAATACTAGGAATACCCAGCTTGCATTCCCAGTTTGTGGCCAAAGGTGCTTTCTTGGAACACCCTGCCATGCTCTGAAATTCATGGGAAGATTGCCAAATACAAAAATATTTCCTCTGTAAAACATGTTATAAAACTATCTAAAACATTTTGTTGAAGTCCATTAATATCTCCTGTGATGGTTCCTGTTTCTGTATGCTCTTTCCAGTGAGAAGAGACAGTAAATCACACAGTAAAGGGTCCAGTTTTAATGCCCATTGTCCCCAATAACAAACTTTTCTAGATTTCCCTTTTAAAGTATCTTTGGTTTGCTCAATTGGTCTGAGTATTTATACGAAAATGTTGTTAGTAGTATATTCAATAAATCTAGAGTAATAAATCATTTTGAAAAGAACCTAACAAGACAAAAATATGATCTCTTTTGGAATCACACATTCTAAAACATCATGTGGCATGTCTGGAGGAAAACCAACTCCAGGGTGTAAATATGAGAGATGCTTACTCAGCACAGTCATATGTAACACCATTAACATGTGGAGCGTAACCATTTTAAAATACAAGACATGCATAAGCTGTTGATCATAGCTAGAAATAAGACACAAAACACTGAACATATTACATAATTATCAAGAGCCTGAACAAGCACATGTTTATTGAAGTGCCTTTAAGTAACAAAAACTGTTTCACATCAGATGTCTGTACAGGGAATGCTAAGTGAAAGGAATGCATTGTGAACTTAAACTTTGGGTACATGTTTTATTTGTGTTGCAGGAATAGCTTATTTAAAACTACATTGACTGTGTCATACACAGCATTTTGTATTTAATGATGTTTGTTACATGATACGTTATATCTCCTATCAGCTATATCGTCCTATTCCATCTATTTATCCTGTATTTCTTGCTAATAGTTTAAACCTTCTTAACGAGAATGTCACATGACTGGGTTCTCCAATTAAATATTCAAATGAATATTCGAATAAAGCAAGAATAAATAGTCATTGCCTTTTTTCCCCAAGTAACACACTGTGTGACATAAAATGTTCTGAAAACCCTAGGCTAACTCTGGATGGAGACTTACCTGCTTATTTTATCTGGGTGACTATACAACTCATGGGATATTTTTGTTATCAACGTGAGTTTGGACTTCAAAAATGAACCCTTTAAAGCATGATCCAAGAATAAAATAAAACACAGAATGACTTTTTTTTTTTTTAAGTCTTCATTTGGCCTTTTAACGAAATATGTCAAAAGAAAAAACAGAATTACATTTTTGATAGTAATAATTTATTACTATGCGATAAGTCGAGATTATTTTTTGTGTAGTCTTCTGCCCCCTGTTATAAGGTGTATCTGATTGTGTACAATAGGATTTTTAGCCAAGTTTTTACCATTAAATTATGCAAAAAGATGTCAGACGCAAAACATTTCAGAAACCCTATGAATCAGATATGATACATTTGGCATTACAGGGTCACATTCTCTCCTAGACAACACCCCACAAAATCCGGGATGTTTCATCTAATCTTGTATTTTATATTCCTTTCCTTTTGAGACATCTTCACTCCAGTTAAGGGAAACATATTTTTCATATTTTTTCTTGTTAATCGTTTGACTAACATCACAAACACTTGTGAGAACTGTGCATGGTTACACCAGACCATGCTCGTCCTGATCCACTGGATGCCTGATTTTATTTTATTTTTTTAAACTTTATTAAACAATTTGAACAAGTTTACAAAACCACGAGGCATGTACACGTAAGAAGAAAAATCTTACAGGCTTATGGCACACATAATTATAACAAAGAAAATAAAGAAATAATACATAAAAATAAAGAAAGTTCAATAAAATTATAAGTTAAAATAATCAGACATCAAACAACTCAATTTGACGAATGTGGCATTCCTCTTCTTCTTCTTCTTCTTGATTTTATTGGCGGTTTGCAACAAACTTTAAGCAGCATTACCGCCACCTGCTGGTATGGAGTGTGGTTCGATACGGACTATCAACTTATATAAGTATTTGTATCTTCCTACTCCTACCCTTAATATATAATTTAGCTAAATTAATTTCCTATTTATGTATACCTACATACTCTCATCCATTTTTATATATATCTTTATAATCCACCCCCCTAGATCCTGCATCCATTCACACACACACCTATTTTAATCATATTCTTTGAAATAATTTAGTTTTCTTTAAATATCCCATAAATATCTGTACATGCTTACTCCCCGAATTGTTCCTCAAAATATCTATCAAATTAATCTTTTCCTTAATACATTCAAACTCTCCTTTCATACACCTTCTTTCTCTTTCATACACATGGCATTCTAACATAACATGTTCCATCGTTTCATATCTGTCACAATAATCACACTTTCCATTATTATGCTTTTATAATTTAAAAAGTGTATAATTAAGACCTGTATGCCCTAATCTTAATCTTGTTATCACCCTTCCCTCCTTTCTATTTCTTCTTTCATTTCTTTTCTCTCCTACTATCTTCTGTATTTTATAAAACCATCTTCCTGTTTTTTCTTCATCCCACCTTTTGTGCCATTTTTCCATCAGTTTTTCTTTAACAATACTCTTTCCCTCAGCTTTACTTGTTTTAACTTTAAAACTAATATTATTATGAATTGCCCTTTTTGCCATTTTATCTGCCCTCTCATTTCCTTCTACCCCTATATGCGCTGGAATCCATACAAATACAACTACCAGCCCCATATTCTGTATTCTATACAATGTATACAATATTTATAATAATATCCTACTATCTGATTGAAAAATTTTGAAGCTTAATAATGCTGAGCTTGAATCTGAACATATCACTGTTTTTAATGGTTTTATTTCTTCCACCCATTGCAATGCTAACAATATTGCCAACATTTCTCCTGTGTATACTGATAACCCATCTGTGCTCCGTTTTCCTATTTTTACCTCGAATTCTGGCACCACAAAAGCTACTCCTTTCTTCCCATTTATTTTTGACGCATCTGTATGAATTT